CACCATCATCTTCATCATCACCATCACCATCATCACCACCATCACCACCATCATCTTCATCGTCACCATCACCACCATCACCATCATCACCACCATCATCATCTTCATCACCACCACCACCATCACCATCTCCTTCATCACCACCACCACCACCACCATCATCATTACCAGCACCATCATCACCACCATCATCCTCATCACCACCACCACCACCACCACCACCACCATTATCACCACCATCATCTTCATCATCAGCATCACCACCACCACCACCATCATCACCACCATCATCTTCATCACCATCACTCCCATCGTCATCACCGCCATCACTATCATCTTCAGCATTATCATAATTGCTGTACCCTGGAAGATAGAAATTGAGCTAGTCTCTGGGAGACGGGCTACACTGGGATTGGAGAGAGGGATGGGGAGGCCCATGAGGCAGGTGGAGAGAGACGTGGAGAACAGCAGCAGTCAGAGGACTCTGGGGGCCAACTGGATCAAGACCCTGGGGTCAAGGTGAGCTGAAGTCGACTTGCCCTTAGAGGAGAACAGAGGCCCCTCCTCCCCGCCCAGGCTCCCTGCCTCCACCCTGCTCTTCCTCAGACCCCACACTCCCGCCATGCCACCCTCCACCTCCAGGGCTCCCCACCACCACCTGGAAATGACGTGTGGGACACCACAGCAGAGGTCCCACCTCTGCACAGGGCCCCCAAACGACCCTCCCTTTCAGAGGCACATGCCCCCGAGGACTTCCGGCCTCACCCTCTGGCTTGGCAGAGTCATCCTGGGCTTCTGGAGAGTGACGAGAAAGCCCTCCAGGGCTGGAAATGAGAGTCATGTGATAATGAGCTGGCAGGGCGCAGCTGCCAGGCCGCCAGCTTTGGACGGCCGCAGTCGGAACAGCCTGGGAGTTGATTTGTTCTCTGCAAATGTGCCATTATGGTGAGATTTCCCACAGGCTCGCTTTGGCAATAGCCATTTATGTCTCCTTCCCACCTGGGGGGACTCCTGATCCTGTCCCGGGAGGGGGCCCTGCTTCCCCGGCTGGGCTGTAATTGCCTCGTCGCGGCTCTCGGCCGCATGCTTGGTCTTGTTTCTCACTCTGGGTCACATTTCATTTTGGTTTAAATAATGAAACCAACAGACCGGAGATTAGAGCCGTTAGATGATTCTGCTCCTAGGAAGTGGACGTCGTCTGTCCAAGATCAAAACTCACCCACAGCTCAGTGGACCCCCTGTGCCAGTGAGGCAGAAGACCACGGCCCCTCACTGCCAGGCTGCGTGGGGGACAGACCTGGGAGGCACATCGGGTGAGCTCCATATGAAGCCAGCAGGAAGTGGGGCTCTTGGGGAGGAGAGGCCTTTGGCCTTGGAGGGATGACCGATGCCGTGGTCAGAGATTCCCGGGGATGGTCACACTGCAGCCCGTCTGCCCTCCCCCGCCCCCTCAAAGCCTTTTCCCTCTTCCTGCAGGGAAACCAGGAGTCCAGGGAGGCCGGTGACAAGTCCCCAGCTGAGTGCACCCCCTCCCTGAAGGCGTGGATCTTCTGCGGGAAGCCATGGAAGTGAATCTCAGGCACAGTCTGGACCCTTGAGCCTCA